GAAACTGTAAGCCAAAACAAATCCTTCCTTTCACTTGCAGGTGCTGAGTATTTTGTCCTGACAAAGGAAATGTGACCAATACACTATTCCCTGATACATATGCTACAGAGTAGCACACTAGGACAGCGACACATGAAAGTAGAGATCCTCAGAGTGGCCCCGAGATAATCTGTCAGACACAAATTCCCAGGCTAGACCCAAGATGTGTAGAATCAGAGACTGTGGGCCAGTACCTGTAATACCAGTAACTAACAAAGCTGAAGCAAGAGGAGGCTTTTGAGTCCAGTGGCTCAAGGCCAGTGTAGGCAACCTAGTCAAAACTTTTTTAAGAAAGAACTGTTGAGAGTGTTCTCAGCAGTCCATGTCAACAGGCTCCAGATGACCAAAAAGAAGCATCTAAGATCCTCTGCTGCAGGCCCCTGGCTGGTCACAGGTCACCTGGGCAGGGTGGCCAGTCTACTTATCCAATTATGAACTACCAAGTGCCATGGAACTTACCAAGCGCCACGCGTGTTACAGAAAATGCTGGGAAGCTTGGGCAAGAAGAACTCTTTTTCTGCCCAGGACACAGAATTCATGACCTTTATTCCCTATTATATTTACATCTTTAAGAAACTAAGTCATTAACATAGAAAAGTAATTCTTTTAAAGAGTAATCTGTATAGTTTATCAAATAACAGGTTAGAGAAAAAGTGAAAATGTTTAAAACTGTGACTGTCACTTAATATAATAAAGGAAGTATAAAATGATACTCCCCAGAAATCTAGTAAGAGGCTCTGTTTAAAATACAGCAGACCTCTATGCAATGCTGGCACAGGGAACATTTCGATAATACTTCACACTACAGATAGATAATAAAGTTAGAAAACATGATGAGGGAGACAGCTAATAACGGTTTCTTTCAATTCATATAACATTTTTCAAATACCAGACAAAATTATAGCAACAAATAGTAACGAACACACAGTAACCCTTACTCTGTGTCTGTCGGGCATGCTTCTGACTACTTTACAGACCCTAATTCACCCAACTTCTCCATCCATCCTCAAAGAACTTGGCAATCCCATTTTACAGATAAAGAAACCGAGGGGTGGAAAGGACAAGGGAACCATTTAAAACCACACAGACCAAAACAGGCAGAGCCAGAATGCAAAATGAGGGGCTCTGGGTCTAAATACCACCATGATGCCAATGCCACCTCCCAATTTAAGTAAAACAAAGTTTTGAAAACTATCCAACAGGCAGCAGGGGATGTTAAAGCCAACTACAAAGACTGGGCAAGTGAATGCCAGAAGCTGAGAAGCAATCACAGACTCTGTACCCCTGGAGGTTTCCGGGCATAGCTATTCAGTTCTCAGATCCTGGATTATGAGTTCTTCTACAGTACTGAGGACAGAACCCAAGGCCTTGCATACTACCAGGTAAATGTTCTACCACTGAGCTACATACAGTGCCTCTAAGATCCTAATTTAGGTCCAGTCACTGAAATAACTTCATTGACCGTGGACTATCCAAAGCCACAAAGAAAATGCCCACCAGATTTCTTAAGAGAAGGGATCTCCTTTCAGAAATAGGGAAAAATATGTAACGTATCAAATGTTAATTGAGACCACAATTTATAGTCTTTATTCATGCTAAAGTACCAGCAACCAGAGAAGTCATTTATACAAATTTTTGCTGACAAAGGAGCAGGACTAGAGACCACATTAGCATTTAAAAAGGCGTTCACATTAAGAAAAGATAAGCAGAAGTAAGTAGATGAGGAAACAGAAAACAAACCTAACACCGGAATTGTGTTCTATTGACCTCCAAGTGGAAAAGGAACAATAGTGGACTTCACATTTCCGAGACGTTTGTGACTTTCAGATTTGAGAACGCTTCCACAGAACACTGTCGCCACGTAAAGACGCACAGAAAGTACCTGAGGCCACATGTCCGCTTCAGACCTCAGCGGGGGTGACTGCGGCGAGGGGAGGATGAGGGAGACGCACCGGCACAGGAGCACCGAGGGTGCCTGGCTCGCCCTGGCAGCTCCAGGCCACAAGCTGCCGCCTCTGCCCTCGCCCAACCTGCCTTCTTGGGTCACCTGGGGGCTGCTCCTGACCGTGCGCATCTGCACACCTCAGATCTACGGGAAGACCCGGACAGGGGTGCTCTGAACACTTCCTTACAACTTGCTGTTTTCTTCCTGCGGGGAACAAGTGCCTTTACTGTGGGGTCTAAAACAGTGACTACAGGACAACCAACACCAAGACTCAGCGTCCAGACCCTCGACTCCCGTCATGCAAGTAACGACTGGGGGTCTCTGGGGATAAGCCACAGGGCCTGTGGTCTCAGGCTCCCAGGAAGGAGTCTGGAAAAGGCTCTGTCCTGCCCTCTGACACTGCAGAAACGTGCCTACATTTTCAGAAATTTGAAAACTCTGAAATTCATTATTTCCAAACTGATTTGGGTCATTCTGTAAATTTTTATTATCAAGTGAACTTTATGCTAAATAGTACCATGTATCTCATTAAGCCAATGTTATTTTTTAAGTTCGCTTTTACATATCTCTAAGTAAAAGCTGTATATATCGCATAAGCAGCTGAGACTTTTAATAAGATCAGTCCCCAGCTCTGGGATACTGAGGCCATCCATCCACCAGTAATCCTCCAACGCTCTGTGACCCATCCATGTTAAAATGACACAGTGGTGGGTGCGGCAGCGGAAACACGGGCACTGGTGCCAGCGGAAGAAGGGCACTCGCAGCCCTGGGCCCACCCCGCCCACCGCCAGCCCTCACAGCACGCAGGGCCTGGCAGCATCTCAGTCTATGAGCCACTGTTTCTTAAACAATCAAGAATTTCTAAGATTCCCATTCTACTCCTTACTACACCTGACTTACTCCTTCTGAAAACTTTCTTCTCATGGCTCTTCCCTTACATCCCGTTCTCTTCTCTCCAAAAACACCTCAACTTTTCTTGACATTATGAGTCACCTGTGTTGCGAATTAAATTAGTATCTAGCTTTTCAAGATGACTCTAATTTCTTCTAAGCTGTCAAGGAGATATAAACTTCTATATCTAAAAAAAGAATGAACATCAGTGAAAAGATCTTAATGTTTACGCTGAACTGAATTAAGACGAGTTTATCTGGGACTTTCCAAAGGAAATAACTACATCTAGTCAAGTAAGAATGATGCCCAAGAGTGAGAAGAAAAAAACAAGAACTCTACAGACCCACTGGGTGAACAACTAAAAACCAGCAACAAAGCAAATAGTGACCACGTTTCCTGTTCCTTTTGTTGTTGTTGTTGTTTTGTTTTTCTTTTGTTGAGATGGGGTCTTCTGCAGTTCAGGCTGGACTTAAACTCACCATGTAGCCCAGGCTGGCCTCCAACTGGCAACCATCCTCCTGCTTCTGCCTCCCAAGTGCTGGGATTACAGGCGTTAAGCCTCTATGCCCAGCTAGTGACCATATTAGTGAAAGTTTCCAGTCAAAATTTGGTTTGAAAAGAAAGCTATGTTAAGAAAATAATTATATAATGTTATTAAGGACCAAAGAGAGTGATCCTGAGAAAATAAATCACCTGGATAATTTAAAATTACATATAAACCAAGTATTTGAGAATCAAAATACAAGAAACAAATTTCAGTTACTTTATTTCACGGATAGCTCTTTTCACACTACAGTAAGCATTTTAAATAAACAACTTTTCAAATAGTAAAAATATAAACATAAGGCCACAGAAGTTGTTTATAAATTAACATAATACAGGTCAGTAGGAATATTGTTAACCTTTCTTACCTATTCATTAAAAATGTAACAAAAATGAAGAAACATATTTTGGAATACAGTAGATTGGAACCAGTTTAACTAAACCCATTCAGAATAGCAGTTTGCAAGGAAGATTTGATGAAACAATTCTATATACACTGGTATCTTCTACTTGCTGATTTTTCCAATAAAGACTTTATATAAAGAATAAAAGGCACTACATGGAAACAAGTTATGTGTACATTACTAACCATGTGTAAAATAGATAATTATGTTTTATTCTTATAATTTCAACAAAAATTTCACCTACCTTTATTGTGTTGAAATTCTAAAGTTTAAAAACATTTACCCACTTAGGTCTTATCACCTACTTAAAACATAAAGCTACTAAATCAAAAACAAGGTAAGACAACATCAAGTTCTATGAATAAATATTCCTAAATTGAGTACTCTAGGATCCTAACACTGACAATACTAATTATCTTCTCTCGTCTAGGCAGTTCTGTTGCACACTGTCTGGGTGACTGATGGGATAATCTGACTTCACTTTCTCTCACTCTATTCTGGGTCGCATAAGAGAAGAATATTAAAATAATTAACACTTCTAAACAAAGTACCTGATAAAGTTTTTGGTTGAAGTGAAATGCTAAGGATATTAACTAATGCAATGATTCTAGGGCACATAAGTAACACCCATGGACTAAAGCAAAATTTGATGAAGAATCACTGATTAAGTCATTCAGTATTAACTATTAGGAACTTTTATATATTAAGATCGTATGTTTTCACGAAGAGCTCTTTTATCAGCACTCTTCCCTAGCCCTACCATAATTGCCAAAAATGTGTCTATACATTTTATATCACTAAGTGTTTTATTCACCAAAAATGTTTCATCAGCAGCAATTAAAGCAGTCCAAAACAGCTAAAATATATGACAAAACAAATTTTTTCAATTTCTTACAACTGTCGACATTATGCTAATTTTAATAATGGCCTTATATCCCTAAGAAAATAACAGTACTTAAATTTTGAATCTATAATATGAAACTGTAACAAACACTTTGTCCCTAACTAGAAAATGTATGAGATGTGATTAACAAGGGTACCTGTTTGAACAGTTTAATAAATTTTGAGCCATATCTAGTTTATAGTTTGTGTGTCACACAATTTATAAATCACCAAGCTTAAAATAAGGCTATGTATTCTAAATGATGAATAAAAAGCATATTCTTTGCCCAGATCACCTGATTTTTTGTTGTTGTTTATAAAATTAATCACAGTTAGCAGGGTAGAAATTGCTTTGAGCTTCATGAATGACATCCAAGAGATGGGAAAGGATTAGTTCTCAGTTGCTGCCAGTTATAGCACCAGGTGGCTTTTTCTGCAGTGAAGGTGTTACCGATAATCCCATTACACTGGTACTAAATCTTGCAGACATCAAAATTATCACCAAGGTTCCTTTTCATCCCATCCTTTCCAAATGACTGGAAGTCGCTTCACCTGAAAGAAGTCAAATCCACATGCAGCTGCTGTTTTAGCAGGCAGCAAACTCCCTGAGAATGCCAGTCATGATTCAATTTTGCTGCGCTGGTGGCCCCCTATTCCCTGTCCAATAATACATCTGTTAAAAAATCCTACAGCTACAAATCAAGTTTAATCCTACCAGGGACCTCATGTTGGTCTTGTCTTCCAAAAAGGCAGCAGGTTCTGCTGTCTATCTCTGCCAGTGTCTGGGGAATACCCTTTAAATCCCAGCCCTACTTAGAAGAATAAGCTAAGGATCACAAAACATGACCTCAAAAACCCTGATATGACTATATTCTGACCCGGAGGCATTCATTCTAGGTGAAGATTAGAACTTTGCATAATAAGATTACACAGCAAGTGAATGATATCAAGGGACTATCCATATGCAGCCGCCTGGTTTTGTATAGACAGCCCGCGCTGTGCAATATGCAGCACCGACGAGAAAGAGCTTGGTCTTTCTAGCTGAAATAAAATAGATTCACATAAATTAGTTGGCCATTTCCAGATTCCTAAATCCCCTATTACATCTTTTATTGACAGCTCCTGTGAGGATAGCACAAATGTTATTCCTTTTTATTCTGTGCTTCTATAACAATCATGCTCTGTAATTGGAATGTACATAGATTATGTCTAGAAATTAACATCTTGTTTGCTGTAATCTTGGATTACAATTGACTGTGTACATAATAAAATTAGGAAATCAGTGGACAGATTTATCATCTCCAAGAAACTAGAGGTATTGTTTAAAGAGTAGTTTAACATTTTGTGTCAATACTTGAAATGCAGATGTCACAGAGAATAATCAATAAAAATTTAAGTAAATCAAAGAATACAACAGGCACTGGAAAATATCTACACAAACATTACACTGCGTAAAGATTAGGTCACATCCCCCAAAATTTAGAAAATGTGAAAAAGCTTGCGGATATGTGTAAGGCTTTCTGCAAACCATCCTGCAGCAAGGAGATCGTTTACACAGGACAAGGTTTATATTTTTTTATAAAGTAGGTAAACCTGCAATCTTTAATCTAAATCCCCTTAAATCATTTTGAAACCATTATTTTAGAATACGTGAATCAACTTAGACAATTATAACTAAAGCATTTATAATTCTTAGCTATGCTTTTAAAATATCAGTGAACTTACCATTTTTATACACAGGAAATTTATGATATCTTTTCCCCCTCCAAGTAGTTTACAATACCACCAGCCCTTAAGCAAACTAGATATATGTACACACACACACACACACACACACACACACATATATGAGATTCATATTCAAAAAGTCTAAGTATCTGAAGAGGAAAAGTTCTCACTTAATGTCAAAAAACCGAAGTATTAAAGACTTGCTATGGGATTCTTGTGAAACTGAGCCCCTCAGGGTACTCGAAGTATGGCTTATTTGACAAATCTGCTGTGTCCACAACTTCTGAGGCACTTTCCACTTCCATGGCATTAGCCATTGCCTCATCTTTTCCATACCTGCACAATGTCTGACAGGCACTCAGTAATCAAGTGACATACTTCTGATTTTGTGTATAAAATACAGACATATATCAAGATATAAATATCAAGATATTATATCAAGATATAAATACAGATATATATCAAGATACCAGTGACAGAGGTATAAAAATATGATATGTAACTGCAAGTACACAGCACATAAATCTTACTTGTTTACTTTAGGGCAGTGATGGTGAACCTTTCAGAGCTTTCAATGATGACAAACTGCCCACTAGCATGTGTGCCATGGGTTTCCCACCATTGCTTTAAGGGATTTCTAGAAAACAATGAGGAATGCAAGAAAAAGTTCACCTATTTTCACGGTATTTTGTCACAACTGTAGAATACCTCAGAACTACTCTGCCACTGGCCCATGTCATTACCAAGGAACTGAAGGGTGACTAGTTCAAATTGCGGTATAAGGTAAGATTAACATACACATCACATTTTGAAGACAATACAGAAACAGAGAAACAAAAATATTTTGTTAATTTTTATATTGATTACGTGTTGAAAATTTTTATACTGAGAAAATATTTTAGCAATATTTGTTAAAATATTTTGTTGATTTTTATATTAATTACACTCTTCCAGATGGTTAAATCAAATATGTGTGAATCACATCATACTTCAATATGACAGCACAGTTATAGTGGTCATACATTTCCAGTAATATGTTCCTCAGCAAAACAGAACTACACAGCTAGTAAAGCACTAACGCAGAGGATCATGATGGAAGAACAGATATCCTAGTGTTACATCAAACAAACTTGCAGAGGAAGTGTGAGATTCTGTCACCTTAGCCTCTATTTTACATTTCTGGCTTGAGGGCATCGGTGTTAGGAAAGATCTCTCAAATCATTATCCCATGCCAAAAAAGAATGATGTATACAGTTACAAAGTGCTTGGGTCCAATTTTTAAACAAATTTCTTCTCGCATACCTTCAAGGAAGGCTAGTGAAGTATGTGCACTGCCTCAAATTTTAAATATATTTAAGTAATAACTATACAGCTTTTAAGCATTTACCATGTTTCAAAATATCAGCAAAACCAAAGGGATCAATTTTATAAATTATTAGTAAGGTGTTTTTCCATAACATTTCTTTATCATATCCTTCAATGGAATTTTTAAAAAGCCTTCACTAAAAACTGCTTCATAGAAATAAGAAAAACTAAAAATAATTAAAATATATAACATATAACTAATTTAACCCAAGTTTTTTCATACATTGGAATATGATTTCAATATAAACCAAAGTACTTACTTAAGGCACTAATGGATTTAAAAGTGGCTTTTTCATAATTATAAAATATTTATCTAAATATGCTAAAACTACAGATGATTTTGAGTATCAAGGAACAAGATGGACAAAATTTAAATCAATTCTTTATTACCAAGTAAGCTACTTTTTTCTAGCCTTTTAGTATTCTTTATTCCCTTTCTGGTTACAAGTACCACACATGGATATATACACACAAGCAAAACAAAACAATAACAATAACAAAAAAAAACTTTCTAGCCATCAATAGATGAGTGCAATGATATTCAATCTAAGTTAATCTCCAGACATTCAAATTCATGAATAAAAATTCATCAGTTTTAAATACACTGAGCCTATTAAGCAAGAACAAAAGCATATGCACAAAAGAGCTTTTAATATATTTCAAAGCCCACAAGAGCCATGGTCTCATTAAAATTATAAATTACACAAACATGGAATGAAGATTCCAACTGCAGTGCAGCTAAGCAGATTACAGAGAAGCCCGCGTTCCATATGATAACGCACCACGGCCCTCCCAGATGGGGGCTTGAAACAAAAAGGCCATCTCCTCAGCGAGGGAAAACCTCCTTGTGATCTCTGGTTTCTGTTCAGCAGATGACAGCCAAATAATATGTTGATTATTCTGTTTGTGCTGCTAAGCTTGTAAGATGGAATAAAAGCGATATGATCTATTGTGAACCCAATGCTAATGTGTTGCTCCACTCATAAATAATATACTGGATTTATTTTGAAACTATCTTTTATCTGGAGCTCAGTTTTTAAATGCATGAATTAAAATAAAAGCCAGGATAAAAATAATAGTTAATTTGATGCTTCAAACTAAAAAATGTAGTTGACAAGTGAAAAATATCCAAACGCTTAGTGAGAAGTCAAGTATAATCACCTTTTTAAATTTCAACACTGTGATCAGAAACAAAATACATTTTAAAATAGGCAATTACTCTCATTACAAAATATAAATATAAAATTAAGTAATGCAAGCATCATGAAGTTAATAATATACATTATTGACAAGACAAAAATTAAAACAGGGTATGCAAAAGCACATTCCTATAATATATATAATAGTATATAATCAGAACATAAAATGAAAATATTTCTCAGCAAGAACAAGTATAGATGATGCCCTTGTAAATGTTCATAACTTGTATACAAGATCAAAAGAAATTCTATTGAAATTAATTAAAAAGCTTATCAAAACATTTAAAATGTAATAGTCAGGATTCTATACTGCATTGGTGAAAAAAGTTAAAACAATTTTCCCTCAGTTAAGTAAATGTATATTTAATACCTTAATCTTTAATAGACTAAACAATACCAAAATGAGGTAACTATAACTGTGTCTGAGAATATGTCGCCAAAAATTTTATATCACAAATAAACATATTTATGAATATGAGTATTATTACAAACACTGAAAACTATACCTCTGCTCCAGCCAGGCAATCCTCTGAGTGATCTAGTACACTCTCCTAGCACAGTACACAGAACACACATTACCCTGCAGACGCACATAAAGTCAACATGGATAGAGACCACTGCATTGAGAAAGTGTATGGCAGAAAATACCTAAGCATGCTCAGTAGCCTAAAACAACCTCCTTTTTCTCTGTGTCCATATAGGGCTTTGAGTCTAAACAAACAGCAAAATTGTTTAAAAAGAAAATACAATCTAAACTGATAAGTCTAAAAGGTAAAACAAAGATACTTTTGTGGAAAACTTAGAACATAAAGCATTTTGGAGTAGACAAGTATGTCTTAAACATGACATAAAATACACTTTACATACGTAACAAACTAGACTACACTGATGTCATGAATTTCTCCTCATCAGACAGTATTAAGAGAGTGAAAAAGTAAATCTAGGAATGAAGGAAATCATAGGAATACCTGCAGTTAAAGATTCAAATTCTGAATATACTTCTTCAAGAACTACAAATCAAAGAAAAAGTTTAACAGAAAAGTGGGCAAAAGTAATGAACAGGCACTTCACAAAAGACAATACCCTAACACCCGATTTACGCATAAAAAAGTGCAACTTTACTGATTAAAGCTGGACATACACACATTTATGATCAAGTAATTTTACTGCTAGATATATTGCCAAAGAAATATAGATACGTGTGTATGCATGTGTATATATACATAGCATGTGGTCAATACATATGGTAAAATGTTTACA